AAAGAGGGAAGAAGGGGAAGAGAGAGAGGTGAGAGGAGGAAGAGAAAGAGGGAAGAGGAAGAGGGGAAAGAGGGAAGAAGAAGAGGGGGAAGAGGGAAGAGGAGGAAGAGAGAGAGGGAAGAGGAGGAAGAGAAAGAGGGGAGAGGAGGAAGAAGGGGATGGTAAATAAGAGGGGAGAAGGAATAGAAGGAAGGGGATAAAGGAGGGAAGGAGAAGGAGAAGGAGGAGGGAGGATAAAAGAAGGAAGAGCAGGAAGAAAGGGATTATAAATAAGAGGGATGGAGGAGAAGGAGGAGGAGGGAGGATAAAGGAGGGAAGGAGAAGAAGAAAGAAGGGGATAAAAGAGGGAAGGAGAGGAGGAAAGAGAGTGGTAAAGGAGGGAAGGAGAGGGAGAAGAGAGGGATAATAAAAAGGAGGAAAGGAGAAGAAGAAGGAAGAGGGAGGAAAAAGAAGGGAAGGAGAAACGGATAATAAAAAGAGGGGAAGGAGAAGAGGAAAAGACGGAGGATGAAAGAGGGAAGGAAAGGAAGAAGAGAGGAATAATAAAACAGAGGGATAGATAAGAAGGAGGAGGGAGGATAAAGATGGGAAGGAAAGATGGATAATAAAAAGAGAGAAGGAGAAGAAGAAGGAGGGGGGGAGGGTAAAAAAGGAATAGAGACGAAGAAGGAGGAATGAACAAGAGATTAATGTCAGCATGACTAAGTATCAGTAAGACTAAAAATATTCATCAATATATACTCTCAACAAACAAAGAACAAGCAAACAAACAAACACACATAACTATCTAAATACAAATACAGAAATAACCAAAACAATCAAACCAAAATCAGCACAAACAAAAAACAAACAAAACGAGCAACCAAAACATGCAAACAAACAAACAAAAAACTAATATACAAAACAAATAAACAAACACAAAAACAGAAACAAACACATACATACAAAAAATAAAACAACTAAACACAAACATAAAAAACAACAACTAAACACAAACATACAACAAAAACAAACACAAAAACAAACACAAACATACAACACAAACAAACAAAACAAACACAAACACAAACAAACACAAACAAACACAAACAAACAAAACAAACACAAAAACAAAAACAAGCAAACACGCCCTTACCTTCAGCGACGATCACGGTGATAACATCCGGCGTCGGGATCGTGGGCGTGGTGGGCGCCAGGAGGGTCAGCGGGTGGGTGTGCGGGCGCTTCGACGACACGCCCACTTGCACCGTCTCGTTGGCCTCCACGCCCATGTCTCGCAAGGTGGAGACGTCGCTCAGCACACGCCCGCGGAGGACCAGCTGGTGGGCGGGAGGGGGAGGAGGCGGGGGGGGGGGGGGAGGGGGGGATAAGGAGGAAGAAGAGGAGGAGGAGGAGGAGGAGGAGGAGGAGGAGGAAGACGAATAGGAAGATGATAGAAATAGAAGAAGAAGATGGAGGAGGAGGAGGAGGGAGGATAAAGGAGGGAAGGAGAAGGAGAAGGAGGAGGAGGAGGAAGACGAATAGGAAGATGATAGAAATAGAAGAAGAAGATGGAGGAGGAGGAGGAGGGAGGATAAAAGAAGGAAGAGCAGGAAGAAAGGGATTATAAATAAGAGGGATGGAGGAGAAGGAGAAGGAGGAGGAGGGAGGATAAAGGAGGGAAGGAGAAGAAGAAAGAAGGGGATAAAAGAGGGAAGGAGAGGAGGAAAGAGAGTGGTAAAGGAGGGAAGGAGAGGGAGAAGAGAGGGATAATAAAAAGGAGGAAAGGAGAAGAAGAGGGAAGAGGGAAGAGGGAGGAAAAAGAAGGGAAGGAGAAACGGATAATAAAAAGAGTTGAAGGAGAAGAGGAAAAGACGGAGGATAAAAGAGGGAAGAAAAGGAAGAAGAGATGAATAATAAAACAGAGGGATAAATAAGAAGGAGGAGGGAGGATAAAGACGGGAAGGAAAGATGGATAATAAAAAGAGAGAAGGAGAAGATGAAGGAGGGGGGGGGTAAAAAAGGAATAGAGACGAAGAAGGAGGAATGAACAAGAGATTAATATCAGCATGACTAAGTATCAGTAAGACTAAAAATATTCATCAGTATATACTCTCAACAAACAAAGAACAAGCAAACAAACAAACACACATAACTATCTAAATACAGATACAGAAATAACCAAAACAATCAAACCAAATTCAGCACAAACAACCAAGCCAAACAAAAAACAAACAAAACGAGCAACCAAAACATGCAAACAAACAAACAAAAAACTAATATACAAAACAAATAAACAAACACAAAAACAGAAACAAACACATACATACAAAAAATAAAACAACTAAACACAAACATAAAAAACAACAACTAAACACAAACATACAACAAAAACAAACACAAAAACAAACACAAACATACAACACAAACAAACAAAACAAACACAAACAAACACAAACAACAAAAACAAAAACAAGCAAACACGCCCTTACCTTCAGCGACGATCACGGTGATAACATCCGGCGTCGGGATCGTGGGCGTGGTGGGCGCCAGGAGGGTCAGCGGGTGGGTGTGCGGGCGCTTCGACGACACGCCCACTTGCACCGTCTCGTTGGCCTCCACGCCCATGTCTCGCAAGGTGGAGACGTCGCTCAGCACACGCCCGCGGAGGACCAGCTGGTGGGCGGGAGGGGGAGGAGGAGGTGGAGGGGGGGATAAGGAGGAAGAAGAGGAGGAGGAGGAGGAGGAGGAGGAGGAAGACGAATAGGAAGATGATAGAAATAGAAGAAGAAGATGGAGGAGGAGGAGGATGGGGAGGAGGAGGAGGTGAAGAAGAAGAAGACGAAGAGGAAGATGAGAGAAAAGAGAAGAGGAAGGAGGAGGAGGAGGAGGAGGAGGAGGAGAGAAGAAGACGAAGAGGAAGATGAGAGAAAAGAGAAGAGGAAGGAGGAGGAGGAGGAGGAGGAGGAGGAGGAGGAGGAGGAGGAGCAGCAGCAGAAGGGAGAAAAGAAAAAGTAATAAGAAGGAGGAGTAAGAGGAAAAGAAGAATAAAGAGGGGAAGGTGGAAAAAGAAGAAGATAAAAAATAGAAAGAAGACGAAGAGGAGGATAAAGAGGAAGAAGAAGAAGAAGATAAGGATAAAAAAGTAGGAGGAGGAAGGATAAAAGATAGAAGAAGAAGAGGAGGAATAAAGGAAAAAGAAAAGAATAAGAAAAAAAGAATTAGAAGAGGAAGAGGAGGAGGAATAAAAGAAAAAGAAAAGAAAAAGATGATGACGATAATGAAAGATAAAGAAATTGAAGAAAAGAAGAAGAAAGAGGAAGAGAGAAGGAAGAAAAAATCGATTAGATTGTATGGTCGTGTTATTCCCAATTCCGTGCTGTATAATTGGAGTTCTAAGAATAGAAACCGCAATGATCATATGGCAAGAAATTACGACTTACGACCTTCCTCAATTATATGTTACGACACAAATATATATATATATACATATATGTATATATATACATAAATATAAATATATATATATATATATATATATATATATATATATATATATATATATATATATATATATATATATATATACATATATATATATATATATATTTATGTATATATATTTTTTTCTTTTTCTTTTTACTTTCCTTCGTTTTGTTTTGTTTTTCTTTCATTTTCTTTTCTTTTCTTTTCTTTTTTCTTTTCTTTTCTTTTGTTTTAATGTCCTAGACGACGTCCCACCAAAAGTTAAACACGTTGCATGAAACAGAGGAGGTGGAGAAATTTTAGCAACAGTACACAGTGATCATTAATAATTTGGGGGGGGGATTGACACGGCATGCGAGAGATTTTTTTTTTTTTTTTATCTTTCGTCAACCCTATCACGCTTCCATCGCACGAAATTATGGATAGATTGTAGTTTTCAGGATAAAACCGGTAGGAACAAGGAACGTGGTGGGAACTTTTAGTGGTGATGAAGTGAAATATTCATGACGAAATGTGTTAAATGTACATACGGGAAATGCATAAAAAGTCACGCAAACACACGAATGCAAATACACGATTTCGAACACAAACACACACACACACATATAAAGACACACACACACACACAGACATACAAAGAAACACACACACACACACACACACACACACACACACACACACACAAAGACACGCACACACAGAAACGCAGACACACACACACAGAAACGCAGACACACACACACACACACACACACACACATATACATACAAAGAAACATACACACACAAAAACACACACACACATACAAAGACACACACACAGAAACGCAGACACGCACAAACACACACACACACACATAACATACACATACAAAGACACACACACAGAAACGCAGACACGCACAAACACACACACACACCCATCCCTCCATACCCCTTCCCTCACACACATACACAATACTTTATAAGCGTATATGCAATGTATGCGTGCTTATATATCCGCCAATTCGTTTCTGTGAAAAAAAAGCTCTATATTTCCTTCCTAGATTATTGTTATTCCCGAGTCAATGGCAGTAAACCATGTGTCTAACCTCGGGAATTTCGATCCACAAACACACACACACACACACACACACACACACACACACACAAACATACATACACACACACCCCTCCCTCCACCCCCGACCCCCTCACTCTCGGGTGAGAAACGAAACATAGGACGATAAATAATGACAATAAAGGATAAGAGGATAAATAACAACAATAAGTGAGAAACTAAACATGATAATAGTAATTACGGTAATTATTGAAGAGGTCCAGAATAATGAAAATAAATGACGATTTGATGGATAAACAAGACATTAAATCATGCAAATAAGTGTTAAAATAATGAATAATAAAAATAAATAATAACTTAAATAACTTATGATCATAAATGATAAGAAAACAAATAATGACAATAGAAAAAAATAAGACGTTCTTAAACGTAAGAAAATCACGCGCGAACTGAGAATGCATACGGCAGCAATCCC